TTCTGCCTTTTCACGGCCAAGAAGGCACCAACTTCAACATGTATTTCACATTTCTACTACATATATGACCCAATGTCAGTACAGATTCATGTTTCAACAGGTGAAGTATCCCTTTAACACTGTGAACTGATCCAATGGAACACATCATAAAACACAGAATTCAGAAACATTTAAAAAAACAAACTAATCTGTTAGTATGCTATTGAATTGCTAAGGACTCGAAATCCAAAGTTTAGAACTTTGAACATGCCTGTCCTTTTTAGGACTTGAGATTTACTTTTGACTTGCAAAACAGGACTTTGTCCTACCTCTGCTTTCCTGCATGACATTCCTCATTTTATCTCCATCTACTGTCCTATCAAATGAAGGCAAAAAGCCCAAAAATAAATCTTTAAAAGAAAAAAGATGACCTACTTTTATAAGTTTCTAACCTCAAATGAAGTGATCTGTGCCAACAAGTATCCTCATTATGCTTCTATGCACAAAAAAGCTTTTAAGCCGCATAAACGGTCACCTGTATGTCTCCTTTGTGGGGCCCCTTGTGTCCGTACATGCACTCCACTGTGGCCTTTTGACTCTCCCACATGTGTATACGAAAGAGTGGCCGTCTTCTCATTGGATCCTCCACACGGGGGTCATGAGGTGGCAAATACATCCAGCCAATGATGAACAGCCCGTCCACCTGAATGGAACAGACTTTAACAGTCATCACCAATGTAATATAACATTACAAAATTCATACTGCAGTGAACAGATTCTGAATGTGTTTTGTATGTTTTTCTTGCAAAAGAGCTCAACATAATACAAATCCCCCATATTTTAATGCAAATTGAAAAGCACAACTCACCACAACATTGAGCAGTCCACCATAAGGCCCAATGTCAGGCTGCCATAAGCCCAAGATATGTCTGTATGGGTGAAGCACTGAAACATAACAGCACAACAAGACACCACACTAATCAGTTTCTGCAGTGCTACACCAATGCTTTACTATGAGATACATTTTGCGAGGTTAGAAACACTAAAAGAGATGTTCACAATTCACAGAGTCAACCATTTGTTAAGTGTCTGTCAGGGTGGAATCTATGAGCTGTAAACACAAAAGGAAGAAAGTGTAAACCAACCGCATTCCTCGTCAGCCAGACTAAACAGAACACACAGCACCCAAATTTTCAAGCTTCCCGTTAATACTTAAAGCAAAATATTATTAATGCATTTATTATTCACACAGGATGCATAGCACTGCTGCTGCTGCAATCAATAAGAGTTCCAATTCACACAACCTCTCATGCTTCTGCTGTGTACATACAGTGTGTGTAAATGTCTCTATAGTCCATGTGCTCATAGTCCGGGAGGAGCTTCATAAAGCGCCCAGACTTCACCCGTGGGTTGACACCTGGACACAACACAGACATGTGTATGGCAACCAAGAACCAGTGTGGACTCTATGCAGCTGTCTTAATAATCTAATCAAATAGCTGCCACTTGTTCTGGCATGTTTTGTGTTGGCTATAGTTTCTAAATGCTTAATATAACAATTTCTTTTTGGAACACCTACCTCCACATGAACAAAAATAACATATAAGGCTGCAAACATAAGGGTGCAAGTAGCAATGAACAAAATCTTCACTGGTTTAATAAAAAGGTCGATTGACAATAGACAAACTCACGTTTAACGTAGAGGTCCCGGCTTGATACCCCACCCACTTCCATTTTTCGCAGATCGTCCTTCATACCAAACTCTGCAAAGACAAAACGCATGAAAGAAAAAGGAGGCGTATTTAATTTCCACCATTTAACTACATATATTTATCACAACTTCATCAAACATACTGTTTGCAGTTGCCCAACATTCCCACCAAGCTATGAACAACAAAGCTCAAGTGACAAGTGTTTATTTCTATGATTATTTAACCAATTGCTATTCTTCTTAATTAGCTTATAATTTAATTTATTAAAGAACAAAAACACCAATCTAGTGGCAAAAGCCCACTACACAAGCCTAACCGAGAGTATTCAAGTTTGCTATTTGTGTTAAAAATATTTGGTTAAAACACTGTTAGGTGGGGGTTGTTTCTGCTGTATAAATCCAATGAAGAAATCGTGAAACATCACTATAAAACAATAAAGACATGACACTGATTTGTACACGTAACAGATGTAGACTATTTGTCTAGCAAACAGTTGTTGACAACATATAGTTGGCTCTTATACAAATAAACATCTGTTACAATTTAGATGTTTCACCCATATAAGGTTACAGCTTCAGACCCCCAAAAGTAGGAGTGCTAAGAGGTGGTACACAGACTTGAATAATACATTTCACAAAGTTACCAAGATGAATGAATTTCATGAAAATTCGTACTAACAAACACAAACAAAATGAAATCACCTCACGTTATAAAGCTAATTAAAGTGGAAGATCCTCGTCATTAAAAGGCTTTGGATTAAAATGTGTCTTCTTATAATTACGTCTTAAATTACGCATAAATGGAGAGGTCTCAGAGTGAGGGGGCTGAGCGGGCAAATCAGTGAGCAGCACTGCTATGTGTCTATACTGGATCTATGTTATGTTACTTTATTCATAAAGATGTATCATTTTCTTTTATGTCAACATATTCATGATGAACTGATGTGCCTTAAATATACTATTGTATCATTGCTGACTTATTAATTACAGGTTAACAGAAAATAAAAAATGCTTTCTGCATTTTACCTTATTGTCTTCTGTGTTTCACAAGTGCTTCCAGTAAGCTTGAAGAATATGTTTTTTAAAGAACTTGATTATTATTATTATTATTATTGTTTTTATTTTGCATTTAATGAAACCTGTTGTAATAGGCCACATCCCCCTCACTACACATGCCACAACACAACACAGGCTGGTGTAGCTGGTTGTTATCAAAGTAATGCTCAAGGCCTCCAAAAGGCATCACCAGTCTTATCAGCTGCACAGAATGGCTGACAGTAAGTATCAGTAAGTCACTGGTGGTCTGTTTTTCTACAGGGGCGGCAGTGTTAGCCATAACATGCCCCGTCAACCCTCAGCAGATCAATAGGAAGCTTTTAAGGTTACATATTTCCAAGGAGCCAAAGCAGGGCATGGCGCCTGTCAAAAAAGACACGTAAACAACAATCAATCTATCGTTTGCAAATATTAATAGGTGACTGCTTTTTTTTTTTTTTTTTTTTTTACAACAGTCTAAAACTAGTGTTGAACTCTTCATTTTATTCAGTAATAACAATATTTACCTTCCGTGCACCGCCGTCTCCAGATGGTTTCAGTGTTTACGATTTGCCTGAATTTCTTGCAGACGAGGGCAACATTTGGCAGCGCTGTCCCGGGGAGCAGAGACAGTATTTCCACCAGAAGCTCCGGGGGTAACTCCGCTAATGACTGCGGGTGTGGAGGTACCGTGCTTGTTCGATCTAGAAAGCTTATACTGCTGGCATGGCCGCTGCCATATTCACAAGCGTCACTGGGCCCTGCAGTGGGGACGTCGCTCTCCAGGCCTCCGCAGCCGCCGCCGCCAACTCCGACGTCGGCTTGCCTGTGTCCTACGATCCGCTCCTCTTCATCCTCGTCCATTTCAGAGTCGCTTCCCTGATCCTGCTGGTTTTGCCGCTGTCGCCTCCTGCACCTCCGCGACTGGCCAACTCCGCAGAGCCTGGCACAAACAGCCATCCTCAGTCACCAAACAGACAACATTACATCACTAAAACACATCTATCAGCTGCAGTGGGCTCATCTCCTTCACTAAGCACGAGCATGGGCAGATCGTTGCTTCTGACGTCACCGCGTTGTGCGTACTGAGCGGGGTAACTTTTCTTTCCTCTACCATCGATAGTCATGGTCCACATAAGTCTAGATGATTGTTTCTTAGTTTGATTTACAAAGAACAATCAGTAAAATATAATATATATATATAAAAATAACAGGCCTATGTCTGTAAACCAGATGTTCTCGTTTACAGCTTTAATTTCGAGTACTCGTTTATTTTAACTTTAAGTGCCAAACAAACATGTAGGCCTATACAGTGAATACATTCGCATCTTTGTAAAGTAGGCTAAAGGGGTAATCAAGATGTAATTTGAAAGCATGCAATGGTGCACCGATGATTGTAATCTAATGTTTCAGGGACATCCGGGAATCGAACCAGAGACTCTCTCCATTGCGCTTAACCAAAGCCATAATGGCCCTCCCTTTTGCGATCACTTGCCATGTAGTTCCGCGCACACACCACCCCTCATGGTGCTCAGTCTAAGAAGAAGTAGCCTCCTCAGTCCTAAGATCAGTAGAAATGTCAGTAGGCTATCGCCAGTTTAAGTACTGCATGCAGAATATGAAGTGAACTTTGCGTCAAGTATCAAAAGTAAAACTCATTTATCCTATGGTCTGATTTGTATTCATATGTTCTTTCAAATATGTTAAATGATGTTTAAATAGGATGATCATATGTTTTGTATTTACGTAAAGTTACAAACAGCTGTAAAACATCGCTGAGAAAAAGACGGCAGTGACGATATTTAGGCTATAGTCGTTTATCTCGTTTATCTCCCAGGCCTCGGAGGTGAGGCTGCTTGGGGATAATTTCATGTTAAGGGGTGTTAAAATGTATTTCGGGTCATAAGTATGATCTGTCAAAGTTTCCTTTGAGTTGAGAAAAGATCGAGCCAGCCAGGAGTCGAACCTAGAATCTTCTGATCCGTAGTCAGACGCGTTATCCATTGCGCCACTGGCCCGAGATATTCGCAAATGATCACGGGAGTCTCTTAAAGATAGACAGGCCAGATTTACTTGATTGAAAAGGTCATCCATTAATTAAAAACTCGGAAAACCCAGAAAAGGGAGAAAAACACAGCTAGAAAGACCCACGATAGTTTCTGAGCTATAACCAACAGAGAGTAGGTGAACTTCAGACACTTTATTATTTGATGTTATATAAGAACCAGTTACATCTCTGAGGTGTCTTGTGAATGACAATGAAACTCAGTCTCTTGACGTTTGCTTGTTTTATTTGAACTTTAGGCGAACTCAGTGGTGAGGAATACAAGAAACAGCTGATCAACAGTCTTTGCTCAAGCAGGTCAGGACTTATTAGATATACAATTTTTACATGCCTGGGCTATTTCTCTTTATAAGGAAGTGTTGCCAGTGTTTCTCATTAGCATTTATCATAATGACAGCATATCTACTCTCCTGACTGAGATAAAATATTTAAATTGAAACTATATTGAAACTTGTATTCTACTCGCTGACAAACTGTGAAATGTAGTGATTACATCCCGTCCTGTTTTTATATTTCTTGTGCTTTCTTATAATGATATGGACCTATGGGTCTGATATAAAGTAAAGTATAGGTGAATATATAAGTTGAAACTTTGGGAAATGGATCAGTAACAATCACAATGTTGATTTGCATCTATTCCTGTTTATTATGTATACAGATGGGACCCACAATGTGTTATTCACCTGACGACCATGTTCAGGTAAGACCATAAACCATCACATTCTTAGATACTGATCAGTTCTCCAAAGACTAATCATAACCAACTATAACCAACAGAGAGTAGGTGAACTTCAGACACTCTAAAAGGAACCAGCATAAAACACTATCTTACACTTAATAAAACAATAATAGCCACTAAACCTTTAAATGTTTGACAAGTAGAAATGATTGTACTTCCAAGTGGGATCCAACGTAATAAAGCTTGAATTAAACTCTGAAAAGGGCCAAACTAGTGATTCTTTAGAGTCCAGGTAGATTATTTACTTGCTCTGTATGGCAACCAATGGCAACCATAGGTGGCAACATACAGTCTATGGTGGCAACATGCACTTCTGGTGAGATGCCAAACCTCATTTCGTTACTCTATACTTGTATATGTGTAATGACAATAAAGTTGAATCTCATCTCATCTCATCTCATACAGTCTATGGTGGCAACATACAGTCTATGGTGGCAACATACAGTCTATGGTGGCAACCCACGAAAAGACAGCTTGGGGGCGTGTCTTGTAAGAGGGGTTGCCAGTTATGTTAAAAAACGCGTTTTCTACTTAATGTTTAATTTATCGTGTAACTCAAAGTATACGATGGAAATATAACATGTTTGATTCATTTCTCAAATTATTTGTGGTAGCCCAAAATATGTTTTGTACATACATTGTACAAATGACTGTTAAAAGTTGTGTCAAAGTGATTATTAATGCACTGTATCTGGGGCAGAGTTTCGATCTAATGTGGCAACCAAGAAGCAAAACAGGAAGTAATCGCTGGCGGGAATTTCATTACGTGTTACCAATGACACCGGAGAATTAACTTGAGCTTTCCCCGCACAAGTTTCATAAATATAAATTGAAAGTAAAATTTAAACTTTTGCTGACGACAAGCAGAGGTAAAGATTTCATTTTTGCATGTAATTTATAAAATTTAACATTTATCCTTCGCAACAAGCCTTTTGAGCTTTACCACAAATCCATTCGTGTCCATGCTTTTTCCACTTTGCAGGTCGATTATGAAGGCTGAAATTGATAAAATAGTTACTTTGTCGGATGGCGACAGTACAGCTGAACTTCAGAAATACCTGTCCTCCCTTTCAAACGACGAGGTAAACATATCTGATCAAAATACACATCGCATTTCAAAAAAAAAAAAAATGCCGCTGTCCAATTCTTCCCCTTCTGTTATCCCCTTTTCTAGCTGATTACTGTGATTACTAATGGTGCATTAAAGGGTAAAAAGGTCGGTTCCATGATCAAAGGCATATTTAAGGGTAAGTACACTGCATTGTTTTAAATGTGAAACATGGTGTCCAGTTCAATCACAGTGAAGTGTCTGCTCTGAAATGTAGGCTCACCCTCCAACTCACCTGAAGGGTCAAACCGGAGACTTCTGGTTTATCAACACTGCATCCCTCTGTGTGAGTCTGGGGATCTTCAGACAGAGGTGGCAGCTGATATCATTGGACTGCTGATGCTGGAAGTAATATAAAAACTTACTATGAAGCTTTTTCATATAAGAAACCACATTGTACTAAGTGACCTCTATTGACTGAAGTGTCTGACCTCCCACTTTCTCTCTTAAATGTTACACACAGACTCACACACTTACTGGATCCTGTCTTGCACAACTGGCATCTCTTTTTGTTGACGCCATTAAGGTGGGGAAAATGGGCAGTGGGAAGTCTCTGGAGCTTTTTCCCACTGTCCTTACTGCTCTTTCAGCATGTGACGCCTTGTCTTATGGCAAAGGTAAGTGCGCACTTCAGGCCTCAACTACTTTATTATTTGATGTTATATAAGAACCAGTTACATCTCTGAGGTGTCTTGTGAATGACAATGAAACTCAGTCTCTTGCGTTTGCTTGTTTTATTTGAACTTTAGGCGAACTCAGTGGTGAGGAATACAAGAAACAGCTGATCAACAGTCTTTGCTCAAGCAGGTCAGGACTTATTAGATATACAATTCTACATGCCTGGGCTATTTCTCTTTATAAGGAAGTGTTGCCAGTGTTTCTCATTAGCATTTATCATAATGACAGCATATCTACTCTCCTGACTGAGATAAAATATTTAAATTGAAACTTGAAACTTGTATTCTACTCGCTGACAAACTGTGAAATGTAGTGATTACGTCCCGTCCTGTTTTTATATTTCTTGTGCTTTCTTATAATGATATGGACCTATGGGTCTGATATAAAGTAAAGTATAGGTGAATATATAAGTTGAAACTTTGGGAAATGGATCAGTAACAATCACAATGTTGATTTGCATCTATTCCTGTTTATTATGTATACAGATGGGACCCACAATGTGTTATTCACCTGACGACCATGTTCAGGTAAGACCATAAACCATCACATTCTTAGATACTGATCAGTTCTCCAAAGACTAATCACATGTTGGCACTTTGCAGTAACTTGTCCTTTCTTTTCTTATTTATTTTACGATGGTATCACGTTGCAAACTCCCAATATTTTCTCCGCGTGCTTCCTCACATCGCATAGAAAATGAGTCAGCAGTGTGTTTTTTTGTGTCTACCTTGTTGTAGAGATGTGCCCTTGTCATCGGAGGAGCTGCAGTTTGTGGTGGAGAAGTTCTGAGGATGTTCACCAAACTAGATCTACAGGAGATCCCACCACTGGTCTATCAGCTGCTACTTTTGTCTGCAAAGGTACATTTGTGTGTGAGACTCAACATCTTTCATTTCAACTTTTCATCATTCCTTCCTCTTTTTTGTATTATCTTAATACCTGTGCTTCACTTTCATGCCTGATAGGGTTGTAAGAAACAGGTCCTGGAAGGAATCATTGGTTATTTTAAGGAACAAGACATTCGCCAGGAAGAAGAGCAGAAACATGGAGAGTGAGTGGCTCTTGCAACATACTGTATTGAATCTCAATTTTAAAATGCCAACTTTCTTACTTCATGATTGTTGTTTTCCTCTGCTTTGACGCTAAGGAGTCTGGATCTAGAGGTTCAGTCCATCCCTCAGGACCAGTTAAGGCATGTGGAGGGTACTGCTATTCTTCACATTGTGTTTGCTGTACGACTCGACCATGATCTCGGGAGAGAATTTCTTAAAAGCATTAAGGTTATGCAGAACTCAGCTCTCTTTGTTACTGATGTTATTTTGATTACATTAAGAGTGTGCTATAAATCTTATGATTGTATTTCCACAGACATCTTATGGGGACTTGTGCCCTTTCCGTGTTGCCCTGCTGCTTTCAGTTGCACGTATCCAGCGTTATGAAGAGCAGGTGAGAAATTTGGACTTTTCCCCTGTGCTCTTTTTGATTAAATATATACTTTTTTATTCTTACTTTATTCAATCCTTTTCTTTTTGCTTCATTCTTCCCCCATTCCCTGGTTTGGGTAGGTGTTTGACCTTTTGAAGGGGGCAATCATCAAGAGCTTCAGAGATGAGCAGCTGCAGCAGGGATCAAAGTTCCTGCAGGATCTCCTGCCTGGACACTGCAGTGTGGCTCAGATGATACTTGACACAGTCAACAACAGGTGAGACACCTTTCAACCTTTATTACAAGAACTATAATACAGCTATTAATGTGTTGCCCCAAATCATGCGGTACACCAGTTTAGATTATACAGATTATTTTTTCAGCCTTACATTTAATTAAAACATACAGATCAGAAAAATATATTTTTAAACATTGCCTCTAATAAACTGATAATCTTTCAAGTGGAAGTACAAAATGAGGATATACTACTTAATCTTCTCTCAAATCTCAAGGACAGTAGTGTCATAATTCATTTTCTCCCCATGACTTCGTCTCCTCCACCTGTGCAGTGTGTTTGGTTGGGATCATGTGACCCATGGGCTGGTGCAGTTGGGATTCTTCCTTATGGATAACTTTGGACCCAAACCTGGACCTTTTGGAAAGACCACAGAAGTATCTACTTCCATAGCCCGGACCCCAACTCAGCTAGCATGCAAGCTGGGGGACAGGTGCTCCTGCATGGTTTTAAGGTAACATTTGATGTTTCTTTTATTAAAGTATCACAAAATGGAACTCGCAGACATTATTGACTACATTTTTACATTGTGTTTTCTTCTCACTGGAGTGTATGTGTTTCTCCTGTAACAGATGCACGAGCCTATTAGAGGAGAGATCCTAGAGCAAGTCTTGAATCGATTGGTCTCCAAGACAGCCTCACCTGTCAGTCATTACTTAGGTAATACGACGTCAGAGATATCAACCCCTAGCTTTTAGATTTACAGTAATAATGTATTAGACTAGTAAGAACCTACATTCTAACTTGTTCTTTTCTGTGTCTGTTCCACCAGACCTTTTCTCTGACATCGTCATCTCTGCTCCCATGATCCTCCTGGAGTCATCCTCAAAAGTGACGGAGACATTTGACAACCTGTCATACCTGCCCCTGGCCACTGTCCAGGGTCTGCTTAAAGCTGTTCAGGTACCTAAAAACACACACATGTACACACAAGGTAGATGTTTGTTTGTTTTGTTTGTTATTTATTTATTTTCTGTTTAATGTCCAGCCCCTGCTAAAGGTCAGTATGTCCTTGAAAGACGCTTTGATTCTAGTTCTCCGTAAGGCCATGTTTTCCAGGTGAGTACTGCTTTGCTCTTTGATTTTTTTTAGAGGAGTTAATGGATCACAAAACTGTCGAAGCATTTCATGGTTTAACAGTAGTTACAAGGAAAGGCAGTTTAACATCGCTAATCAAGATCTTGCATTGGTCTCCCCCTTGACTCTCTAATAGCCAACTGGATGGCAGGAAGTCTGCAGTGACTGGCTTCTTGTTGCTGTTAAAGAACTTCAAAGTGTTGGGTAGTCTGGCCTCCAGCCAGTGTAGTCAGGCAGTCTCCTCAAGCCAGGTATGGGCCCACATATACTCTTTGTGTTCTTTGCATAGATGCTTCTACACATGGGGAAAAATATCTGTGCAGGTATCTGCAATTTTTAACACAATAACCGTTTGCTTGAACAGATCCAAGTGGATGTTCATTCTCGTTACAACTCTGCTGCCAATGAAGCCTTCTGTCTGGAAATCCTAAGCAGCCTGCGTCGCTGCCTCAGCCAGCAGGCTGATGTGCGCCTCATGCTCTATGAGGTTAGAGTTTGTTTTTTTGTGTGCCTGTCTATAAGTTCATTTTTAAAATGCAGTATGTTGCTGAACTAAAAGTGTTATTTGAGCAACATGCTGCTTTTTCAATTAATAAAGATAAAACTTACTTACTCCTAAGTCAGCATCTTTTATGTATAGAAATCTTCAACTACAGACATTTTAAATGAAGCCTCTAAACATTTGTATTCTTTGAAGTGCAACATCTTTTCTCTTTCAGGGTTTCTATGATGTTCTTCGCCGCAACTCTCAACTTGCAAGCTCCATCATGCAGACCCTCTTGTCCCAGGTATGCCTGTTATCAAGTGCATGCTGTATTATGCAAAAAAAAATCCTGTTTTTTAAGCTGTCTTTTATGCGGCTGGCTTTGTCATGTTTGAACTATAGCTGAGGCGATACTACGAGCCTGAACAAGACCTTCTACCCCGGTGAAACTGGAGCCGTGCATCACAGCTCTCGGAGACCAAGTCTACCTGCAGGAGCCTCTGGTACTCTTACCTGCTGAGTCCGATTTTACCACTGTGTTTTTCTTCGGTGTCAATGTCGGACTTAAATATTTTTTGTTCCCCTTTCAGGCCCACCTGTTGAGTTGTACTGTACACTGCCTGTTGTCGCTGCAGAACATGCGCCAGTCAGCCCGCGCCAATGTTGAAGACAGCGATGATGAGGCCGAGGAGGAGGAGGAGGAGGGGTACCTGTCCGAACTGCAGACAATCCTAGAGAGCATGACGCGACGCATGACCAAGAGTGAACTGGAGGACTTTGAACTGGTATTGTAGACAGAATAAACACTGTGGAAATGACAGACACACAACTACACTGAATGACTTTCAAAGGTTTTGCAATATTTACTTTCTGTTTAAAAGCAGGAGAAACCTTTTACTGCTCTTAGAAATGATGTGTCTGAGTAACTTTTCACTAGGCATAAAACGTATGATGTAGTGGGATTGAAGACAATATTGGGCACCCTTATCAATTGTGCATACATATATATGTGTGTGTGTGTGTGATGAGTCCATTAGTGTGAATCCCCTGACTAAAATGAAACCATATGTCCCGAGTTTAAGCCGTGCATTTTTACTGTATATTCTGTCTCTGTGTTTACCAGGACAAGTCAGCTGAGTTCTCTATGGGATCCAGCGTTGGGGTTAAGAATAACATCTACGCTGTGCTGGTGATGGGAGTGTACGAGGTCCTCATGGAGTTTAGCTTTACTAAAGCAAACTACAGGTAACAGCCACCTTTTCTTTTGTGTGGACAGGACACTGCCGAGCATAAATGTTGGCGATGTGTTAATAAGAACTCTGTGTTGTAGTAAAAGCCACTTTGAGGAGCTCTTGGAGTTGTTTAACCGCTACCACAAGCTTGCTGAGATCCTGAAGGAGAAATCCGGGAAGGGTCGTGGTCCCATGCAAAAGACCCCCCGCAGTTTGCTCTCTTTGGGCTTCATATCAACTCTTCTCAGCGTCCTCTTCAGGTAAAAGCTTACGCTGCCTATGTGAACATTGCTTGTTGTAAGAGTAACTGGGACATTCTGAATGAAAATACAACATTTTATTATCTTGATATAGCTTCATCTGAAAATAGCTCTTGTACATGATAAGGTCCCTGGCCCAAGCCCAGCGGAATGACAGTAAAACTCCATTGAAATAAGGGTTGATATAAAAGCAAGTAGTAAAAACAAATAAACTGCAGAACTAAAGAGTTGGGATTCTTTTTTTCATGTCTTTTTTCCAGAGACAGTACTCAGAGCAGAGAGGAGGCTCTCTCAGTGCTTCGCTCCAGTGGAGAGTTTGTGCGTTATGCTCTCAGTGTGGCTGTGCAGAAGATCCAGCAGCTGGAGGAAACTGGACATGCAGAAGGCCCAGATGGACAGAACACAGACAGAACTTTCCGGTTCCTTTGTGACATGACAAGGTTTGAATCCCTCGGCCCTCATACACGGTATCATTTCAGAATATGTACCATGTTGTGTTGTCTGTAACATCACTTGTGTCATTTCCATCCCAGTGTGCTGATGTGGCGTTACACCAACATCCCGAGCACGGTGGAGGATGCAGGGAAGAAGGAGAAGCGCTCCAGCCTGTCTCTGATGTGTCTGGAAGGCTTGCTGAGGATCTTCACAACCTGCCAGCAGCAATATCCAGACAGAATGTCGCAGCTCCTCTCCACCATGGGTCAGACAGGAGCACTTTTAAAACTGTTGAAAGCGTCGACGTTAAGGTATAACACTTGAGTGGATCATAGGAATTGTTTTTATTTTATTTTTTTTGCATTCTTCTGCAGACGTCTCGGAGGTCAATGAAGAGCCAGACGGCGGCAGTGCTACAGAGATGAACTTCTTCTACATCAGACAGTTTCAGGTGAATCTTTGCAAAATATCATATTGTGTCTAGTTTTTTAAAGATAGAAATGTAGCCTGCACTCTTCAACCCTTTCAGAGTGTCTTTACTCAGCTGCGGTGTCCTCTGTCTGTCACTAGAGGGCGCTGTTCACTCAGTTAAGTGGCGGTGAGGAGGATTTTAACAGCAAAGAGGCTCAACTACTGGTTAGCATTTTGAGTGTGCTCTCACGTCAACTAAAGCCATCCTCCCAACAGGTAGGTGTATTCTGAAGTGCACTTTATGGGGGGGAGGTAACTGTAGTACTTTTACTACTAAACAGATCTCTCTTCACAGTTTGTTCAGATGATCACATGGACTGTGAAAGTCTGCAAGGAGACCAGTTTTGGTGAGTGACAGTATTATTTACTCTCTGTGTCTGTGTGATGTGTTGTAAGTCGTGTTCTGATCATTTTTCTCTCTTTCAGAGGATCCACCTTTCTCCAAGGGCCTGCTCTCTCTTCTCTTCAGTCTGCACATTCTCTACAAGAGTCCTGTCAGCCTGCTGCTGGAGCTCTGCCAGGACATCCACAGCCAACTGGGAGACATTGATCAGGTACACACGGCACAGAAACAATATTGAGAGAACCATCAATCTGTTTCATCTCATTTTTTTTAACATTCTAGTTATTTGTTAAAACTGGAAACACATAAAGGTATGTCCGCACCTTTCTCAAAGACTGCTCAAATCAAACTTTGAACTCTGTCCCATGTCATTCCAATTGAAGCAGTATTAAGGGATTAGTGACTCTGACTGCTACGAACACTTAGCTGTTGTGGGTAACAGTTAAAATGTAGAACTTTTCCTGCAATAAGTGCTACATTTTTTTAATTATCATGATCAAAACAATCAACAATCATTTGTTTGACTGTAACCTCTTAAAAATAACCAAATACATTTAGCTGCAATGACTAAGCCAGGGTTTAAACATACAAAATGTATTCTCCTTTTTCTTCTGTACGACCAGGATGTGGAGGTGGAAAAACAATCCCACTTTGCCATTATCAACATGAAGACTGCCACCTCAGCAGCGGTAAGTATTTCATTATTTTTTATAGCGTGTAATTCGCTCTTGACACTAATACATGAGAATCTGTTTGTTCTCATCTGCATTTATTTAAATCTCCCACTGCAGCTGCTGGTCCTGTCTCAGGTTGGCCGAGTGCTCGATGAAGTGGACTGGCTGATTGCCAGAAAGAAAAGCCAGGCATCCTCTCACAAATTGGGCTCAGGTGAGAAGCATTTCCACACTGGAGCTCAGTTGTCTTTTGGGGGTGAGAGGAACTAAAGTTTCTGTGTCGTGGTGCACATTCTGTTTGTAGGGGAAGCCACTCAGACAGCAGGCCAGCAAGATCCAATAGAGAAAGCTGTGACCCTGCAGCTCGGGACTCTTTTGACGGCATTAAACGAGTTGGTGCAAACGGCTCTGCTACCTGGCACCGGCACCATCACACTGCTGAGAGAACTGAGCCGCACATACACCATCCTCACCACACTTGTCAAATATGTGCGTAAATTGTCCGTTCGGTGGTCTCAATATGAAAGTAGAGTTTTTAAATTGTGTCTTGTGTGAGATTTATTTCCTTCCTCCTGTCTTTTTCTTTTTTTTAGTACATCCAGGTGTGTGCCAGTCAGCACAGCGCACTGCCAGCACGCTTTGAGAAGCTGGTAAGTCGGAAGTGAGGTTTCTCTTTTTGGATCCTGTAGTACGCCTTATGTCGTATTAACAGTTAGCTTTCTGTGCAGGTCAAACTGTCTGGCTCCCACCTGACGCCACAGTGCTACTCTTTCATCACATACGCACAGGTACAACACACGCTGTTTTTAAATTAAAATATTGCTGTTCTGTTGAAGATTTTCATGCACTCTCAGAATGTGTGTTTTTGTCCGTCAGAGTGGAGAACTCAGTGGTGGAGGTGCAGATGACAAGAAGAAAAAGAAAAGGACTGAAGTGAACACTGCTGCCTCAGTATGGACATTTACTTCTTTTTATGTTATGGGACTGGTTAAGGAGATTGTTTATAGCTATATATATATTTATGTTCTGTTTAATTGTCTATCATGAAATATGTCTACACAGCATTTGAACACTTCTGAGGCTCAAACAAACCAGTTTAAATAAAACCCTTCAGAATCTGTTAATCCAAGATTTTTCTCTTGGTAGGCTAAACTTCTGCGAGAGACAAAAGCCATCCCTAACGTGATCTTCGGCATTGAGCAGTATGAGAAATTCCTCATCACCCTCTCGAAGAAATCAAAGGTATTTATATACATGATACATTGAAGCAGTTTATAAAATGTAATTCTTGAAAAACATGAAGAAACTTTTTTAACAGAATTTTTTATAGAATCATCAGAGACAGGCCGGTCATATACTGTGTTTCAGCAACGTGTGTGTGTATTTACGCTTGTCAGGTTAATCTGATGCAGTACATGAAGCTGAGTACCTCAAGAGATTTCCGCATCAACGTTGCTACTCTGGACGCAGCCCTGCAGGAGCAGCACGACAGTGATGAGGTAAATTATAGTGTTGGGTTCATAGTCTCTCTCATACTCTCTTTTCTCACACATTCACACTTCATTTGTGAACACTCTCCAATTCAGTAGTTTTCTCTTGACTGAGAGCTCTGTGCCGGTGTTGTCTTCTTTCCCTTTCAGCCCACAGAGTCACAGGAAGCAGAGGAGACACAAGAACCCAAACAGAAGAAGAGAAAAAAGTGAGGCCCCCCCCATCCTCAGTAGTGTTCAATGCACATGAATCTCGCTGGCCTTGAATTGAAGTCGCTGCTGAACTGTTCTGTTACGAGAAGCTCAGCCCACAAAGCTCTATCTCTTTTTGTTCAGAGAGCCTTTAGTGATGTCGATGATTTGGTAAATGTCCAGGGCCTCACCTGTGGAAAGTTTGCATTTAATATTAACAATGTGTTTGTGTTCCTTTAGTAGTAAAATAAACAAGTCATTTGTATACGACATTTCATTTCACAACAAGGTTAATCTCACTTCTAAACGTTCTTTTTCACTGTAGTTTATATCCTCCATTATTAGACCAATGTGACTTATGTTTAATGACCACACTTCTTGTTTTAAAGATATTATGGTTGTAGCTACGTAATGGGAAGATGTGGATCTATGTTTTCAGTACACATACATGCTTCCTGAGGACATTTTCAAACTTTGTAAAGTGCTTTAAAGAGGCTGAGATGAATGCAGCACGCGCTCCAATATTTTTCTTCTTGTTCCGTTTACTCAGACTTTTATGAATGTTTGTCTTTAATTGTGTCTCACATGGTATTTAACCTTTTCAGTAAGGATATAAACTGAGACTATGTTGACAGAATGTGTGTACATACTACAAAGCATCCACAAATTAAAAACGATGCTCTGTTATTTCAATTTTCCTTCTAATAAGGTTATAAAAAGCATTGAATGTGATTCATTCTTTTTTGCATTTTATGTGTATCCGACCGTGTATATAACATCTCATACTACAGGAAAAAGGAAATAATGACAAAGGTGTGCAGACTCACCTGGTGGTAGTCCGTATCTTCGTTCAAGACCTGTGGGGTTGGAAGGGGTCACACAGTCCATGTTCACCTCCTTCCTCAGACACTGGTCGATATCAACAGAACTGAAGAACGCTACCGACTGAGGGAGGTCCTGCATGCCTAACGCATGCGAGAATATACTCCTACAGGAGACAGAAGCACACAATCAGCCAGCCGTCAGGTTTTTTTTTTTGTCTGTTCTGTAACGTATATTTTCACAGAATAAACTGAGCGGAGAGCCGACCTCGTGAGCAGGTTGGTGATCTGAAGTGCCAGCGCAGCTCGGTAACGGTCCTCGCTGCAGACAAGGTACCGCACCTCGTCGTGTATGCTGATGCAGAAGCGGCCGTCGATGTCATGCTCCTCAAAGAGCCACTTCATGGCCACCAGCATCAGGTGTAGGTAGTCCACCGCAGAGCTCTGCACCACCCAGTTCACTCTGCTCGTAATAAACTGACAATAGAAAAATGGCATCGTCTTATTAGACAAAAGAAGTTTTGCGAACCATAATGAACCTGATCAAGCCTGGACTCTTCATTGACAAGGTCTTTGGCACAGCAGGCTCTTGATGTGGTCTTATCATGCCAGTTTAATGGTTTACTTCTAAGAGCTGGTCTATCCTGCTGATCAGCACTGCCTCACCTCATCCTTTACCGCTTTGGGCTCCAGCGCTCTGCTAATTCTGCAGCCTAGAACAGGAGTGGCTGGTTGGGCTGAATGTGCGATGCTCTCCAGTTTATTGAACATGTCCGACTCTGTTCCTCCTCCCCACAGACGTTTTTCCACCATTTCCCACCTCTTGCGCCGAGAGCTTTGGGATAAGAGAGAGTGAGAAATCAGGGACCTCAGGAATGCGGGCAAACACTTTTTCACACTCAGATCTGTGTATATTAATGTTTTTCTCTCTTTCTCACCTCTGTGAGGCCAATCTGGTGATCCTCCGCAACTCTTCCAACGTGACACTTCCATTTTCCTCATTCTCCACCTCTATACCCAGCTCATGAACCAGCCACTTGCCCTCCTCTGAGAGATTATATCTGACAAAACATATGAACTCAACAGTCCATCTGGAATCACCTTTGCACAAAAAAAACGACATCATTTATATTCAACTTGTTACCTGCGTATTCCCTTTGTTAAAGCGTACATCTGCCTGGCCTTGCTAGCAGCTTCTGCCTGACTGAGCCGGTGGTTAAACTGCATCAGTAGCCTCTCAGCGAAGGGTTGTCCCGCACCATAAATGCGTCCGTAGTTGAACACTTTAGCGTGCTCTCGGCTGATGCCCACAGTGTCAGCAGTGCGGCTGTGCAAGTCAGTGCCCTGACTCTTCTTCCCCTGAAGGGTCATCCAGCCAAACGCTGTACAACCTGAAACCAGCAGACACACGTGCTGTTATTTTACATCAATTCTCTTACTGACAATAATGACTAGCCCTGCCCCATTCTCTTTCCCTCTCCCTGTATGTGTCTTCTCTGAATTTCTTTGTCAACACACCATGTTCATGAAGTCACTTAAAGGGCAACTTCTGTTTGGATTAGTTTTACTCCTTCGTCAACATACGCAGAGCCATGTGTTAAGGTTTCTTTATGACTTGTTTAATCAAAAGCATCAACACAGATGTGCTTTTATTACTGACTAACCAGCTAAAGTTATAACACAGCAGCATAATGTCGGCCTATATTACACTAGAGAGGTCCCAGAAATCAGTACATTTAGAAGAGGGTGTAATGATTGTTCCTCTGCAGTGTGTAATTTCAATGAACAGGTATAGGAGGGAAATTGATGTGAAATGGTCCGCTAATTCATCTATCACATAAAAAATAAATACAAATTTAAAATGCTTAAAGAAGTTGCCACGTATTTTTGAGGCCATTATTATACCTGTGTGGGCCACTCAAGTAAAGTTCCTTCATTAAGTGATTTTTAAGCTTCAAAGAGGTCTAGGTTTTAAAAGGGGAAAAATCTCACCGTGCATGCCAGCAAAGTGAGCCTCTCCCAGCACAGCAGCAATCCACAGTTCCTGAGAATCCACGTCGGCTCCCACCAGGTGATATCCAGGAGGCACCTGCACCATGGCTTTTAGCTCACTGCCGACCCGATCCTTCTGTAAATGTAAGAACAAGATTCCATCGTTGTCATGATTAATGTGACATGTGCGATGTTCAAACAATAACCCCGACATTTCCATTTCCTTTCACTCTGTTACCTCATAGCGTGGCGTACAGCGGTCAAAAAAATGGAATTGCTCCCCGTCTAGCAACACCTGACACCCCAGTGATAGTTTCTACCTATACAGAGTTTCACCTTAACCTAAAGTCGACACCTGCTGGAACAATTTGTGTTTGCACTTCCTAAACATGGCTCCTACAAACACACTTCCTCCGCTAGCTAATAGATGCAGCTTGGTTCAAACAGGTAGCAAAGTCATGAGGATGTGATGTGTTCTCCTTTCTCACCCGAGCATTACTCGCAGTCAGCCACGTTGGCTCCACAGCCCTTCTTGTTACCGTTCCAGCGGTGATGACCTGAGGTAATATGGCACCATACTGGCCCTCCTCATCAAACTCTTTGTGCCTTTGGGAGACAGAGAGGTTGTTATACACAGCAATGACTACATGGCCAATCAATAAATACAGAAATACAGATATTACAGACAAACCTGCTGACGGTACGAGGAAGCTCTCCCTTTCGGAGCCACAGCATCATCTGAGAGCTGTGAGGAGAGACAGAAAATGTGTTCACCATCTTTAAAATAATAACTTTTAAAAAAGCATGTTTATAACCCCAAGCTGTAAATAACAAGTTAAAAACAACATAACCACAAAATCCTAAAGATAAAATAAGAACAGTGGTAAAAAATAAAATCTAACTGAAAATAACAAAGATGTGGAGATGTACTCCAAAAAAGTGATCCAATAAATATAGAAGCAGCACACATAGACCCCGTGAAACAGAGACAGAGAACAAAGAATATCTATAAAGCAACTTAAAAAAAAGAGTATTTTTCAATCAGCTGATTGATGGCAGTGGGGAGTGAATTTAATCACCCGATAAGATGAAGGAGGAGTACCTTATACGTTTATGGGCGTTCCTCCAAAAAGAGATCATTTTGTTTATCTCCAGAGCTCGCGTCGCGTTGGTTCCACCCCGTCCTGCCCTGAGAGTACCGTCCTCCATCTTGGACAGGAAGTCTTTTGAAAAAGGGCTGCCCACGTTGTTGTGATTTCCATCCTGAAAAAGTGAGACGTTGATAGTAACTCATTGTTGGGACAATCAGCTCGTGCCTCTTATTCAAGACGCTCTAGGAAAACAGAAAAAGTTCACCTTATGAGGCAATTTGAAGAACCAGCATCCAGGGATATCTACATCGCTGTAGGGTCCGTTTCCATGGTGATAATGGCAAGGACCTCCCTTTTGGACGTGATGTGAATCTTTGGGCTAATGTGCGATACAGTGTGAATTATTTCATACAGCACATCACAGTTACCGATATGAACTTTCAAGTCAGTGAAACAAGAAACACAATAAAAATCACAACACTCAATCCTGTTGGACTACAGAGGTTTCTGTAAATATAATATAGTAATATAGTAAATAAATGAATAGTGCAGTCTGCTCTTGATGTGTGCTTTAAGTGTCATGAGATACGTTTTGTGTTGATTTTGCCTAAAAATATCGTATGATAATTTGAGATAGTGTCAAAGTATTTTTAAAATGTAATTAAAGACCCTGTAGTGTTACAAATGTTTATAATAAAATGTAAAAAAAAAAAAAAAGAAAGAAGAAAGCGTCTTCTGAATGACTTCAACAATTTCATCCACTCACTCTTATCTTCTTCTCCCCATTTTTCATCATCTTGACTCCATTTTCCTCCGTCAAACTTTCCAGGGAGCCAAACTCCTCCACCTTCAGATGAGGCAAGAAAACACATCTCAGTCAAGACACACAACATTCACGTCAGAGGATTCAGATCATTTTTATAGTGAACTTAACTATTAGAATATGTGATGAATCTTCACCACTAAAAGTCACAGAAGTAAACACACCTTTGCCCACACTGTGCTGTCAGTAAACATGAGGTCGTCTGAGGGCCCACAGTCCAGATATTCCGGCTGCCTTTTACTGTTTTGCTCACAGTACTCTTTGTAAACACTCTCGATAGCTCTGTGGGACACAACAAAGATGAATGAATGAACATGTCTGCTCCTCGTGTCCGCACTGAGCTCGGGGAAAGGACCGTTTATTTTTGCTACCCGCTCTGCAGGGAACTTTCTCCAAAATGACTTCTTAAAAGACAAAAAAAACACGAGACCATTGCCAACCAGTGCTTTTGTTTTTGAATTGTAATCTGTGATCACGACTCTGCACTTTATCTGCAAACCAATTTGCACATTGTAATTGGTGTTGCTCTGAACTTATTGTTTGTGAACTCTTTCTTCATCATGTAATGTTTATCATGACATGTGCTGCTGCCCTCTTGGCCAGGCCCTCCTTGTGAAAGAGATCTTGATCCCACTGGGTTACTTACCTGGTTAAATAAAGGTTTAATACATTTAAAAACATACAACATACCTGTGAAAATTTAAGACTAAATCTTTACGAGCTCATATCTTAAAGAGGACATATTATCCCTCTCCTCCACCTTTTCAAACAGTCCCCTGTGGTCTAAATGAAACATCTGTGCAGTGCTTTGGTCAAAAAATAACCGGACACTTTAAGGACAGCAGAGACGCGCAGAGCCTGTGGCGTGGTATCCAGACCATCACGGACTACAAACCCAAGCCACAGACCTGTGACAGCAACACCTCTCTGCTGAGCGACCTCAACAGCTTCTTTGCCAGGTTTGAAGCACACAACAGCACGCCCCCACAGAAGACACCCCCCCTCCCCATGACCAGACCCTGTGCCTGACTGCAGCCAGCGTGAAGAGAACCTTCTCCAAGATCAACACCCGCAAGGCTGCAGGTCCAACAACATTCCTGGCCGTGTGCTGAAGGACTGTGCAGAGGAGCTCAAAGATGTCTTCACAGACATTTTCAACGCTTCTCTGAGTCAGGCTGTTGTTCCGTCGTGCTTCAAAGCCACCACCATCATACCCGTTCCAAAGAAGCCCTCACCATCCACTTTCAATGACTATCGACCCGTTGCACTGACCCCCATCGCCATGAAGTGCTTTGAAAGGTTAGTCATGGCCCACATCAAATCCACCCTCCCCGCCACCCTGGACCCCTACCAGTTTGCATACCGAGGTAACAGATGCCATCTGTTCTGCTCTTCACCCAGCCCTCACCCACCTGGACACCAAAAACTCATACGTCAGAATGCTGTTCATAGACTTCAGTTCAGCATTCAACACCATCATCCCTCAGCAGCTGATCGGCAAACTGCACCAGCTGGGGCTCAGCACTTCCCTGTGCAACTGGCTGCTGGACTTCCACAGCGAGAGGCCTCAGACAGTGCGGGTCGGCGGCAGCAGATCAAAAACCACCGTCATGAGCACGGGGGCCCCCCAAGGTTGTGTGCTCAGCCCCCTGCTCTTCACGCTGCTGACCCACAACTGCGCTCCATCCTTCAGCAGCAACCACATTGTGAAGATTGCGGACGACACAACAGGATGGAGGTCAGCCAACTGGCCACGTGGTGCAAAGATAACAACCTCTTCCTGAACGTCGACAAGACCAAGGAGGTTGTTGTCGACTTCCGGAGAGTCCCCACTCCTAAACCCCCACTGACCATCGACGGTGCTGCTGTGGAGAGAGTGAGCAGCACCAAGTTCCCGGGGGTTCACATCAGTGAGGATCTCTCCTGGACAACCAACACCACATCACTGGCCAAGAAGTCCCAGCAGCACCTCTACATCCTCCGCAAGCTGAAGAGAGCACGAGCCCCCCCATCCATCATGTGCTCCTTCTACAGAGGCGCCATCGAGAGCATCCTGACTAGCTGCATCACTGTGTGGCTTGGGAGCTGCACTGCTGCCAACTGTAAGACCCTGCAGCGCACAGTGAAGGCTGCTGAACGGATTATTGGTGTCCCACTCCCCTCTCTTCTGGACCTCTACGGTACCCGCCTCACCCGCAAAGCAACCAGCATTGTGCGTGACCCCACCCACCCCTCACACAGCCTCTTCAGCCTCCTGCCATCGGGGAGACGGTACCGCAGCCTGCGGGCCGGCTCCACCAGAGCTTCTTCCACCAAGCTGTCAGGAAGCTTAACTCTCTCCCCTCTCTTCCTTCCCTCCCCTCTGCCCCCATGAACGCTGGACGTTGAAACCCCCTCCCGTTTGCCACCAAGAACTCTGGACTAATAACTCTGAAGCTAACTATTCAAAAGTACACTCAGTTTACTGCACATTGCACATGTTTACTTTTTCTTTAAATTTTATTTTATTTTATTTACCATTTTGTACCTTTTGCACAATTTAGAATTTATTACTGTAAATATTATTTATCTTATTTTTACCTCATCTTATTTTATATATTTTACCTTATTTTGGTTGTATTGCACCGCGGGACGGAGACAAACACAATTTCGATTCCACTGTATGTCTGGCATATTTTGAAACTGACAATAAAGTTGACTTTGACTTTGAAAAAAATAAAAAATAATGAATCAAGCACCAGAGGAGGTCTGTGACTCAGTATAAACCAGCTCTCTCAGAACGCTCCGTTTTGGTGTGTGTGTCTCTTTAAATACAATGACCCCCACTGAGGTTTCCTGTTAGACATCACTCCTCTGTAGCGAGAATAAAAATGGCGGACCTGTGCTAAAGTTTTGTTCTCGGCTGGGGATGGGGTCCAATGGCAGAGATATCAGGGGAGGGGAGGGGATTTTTTTTTTTTTTTTTTACCAGAATCCAGCTTGTGATATCACAAGCTGAGCAAATTTGAAACGGATCATTTTTCTCTGTGTTGTAAGACTTATGCAGACCATAAACAAAGGACTGGATGGATTTATTTCACATTTTGTGGGTCAGTAGACACTCAGGTTACCTAAAAATATATGTTCAGCAACACTGTAACAGTGGATTTTTCATAATTTGTCCCCTTTAATGTTGTAACCTTGGTGTATACAATACCTGTGTGGGCACACAGGCCCTGTGTTTTCCTCCTCAGATTCCAGGTTATCCCTGCGCCCAGGTACCAGGTAGCCCCAACCATGTTTCTCTGTGTAATGCAGCGGGAAACCATCCCACGTTAAACCCATGAGTTTAGGCGTCAGTCTCATCTGCAGGCTGATGAGGCTGGCACCAGGCGACCAGCTGTCGTCCTCAGACATCTTCTCACACAGCTTACGATACCACCTGAGGGTCACAGAGAGGGCAGAGGAGGATTTGCTGTACTCTGCAAACAGAGGTAAAAAATAAATAAATAAATAATAATAATCCAGGTGATTTTACCCCGGGTGTCCAGGCAGATGTTGCCGTCTCTTGGGAAGTCGATTCACAGTTTCCTTCAGATTCTCCACCGCCAGCCTGCTGGGACACGGGCCGGCAATCTCTTCTTCAGAGGGTGGACCTGGGTCTGGTATCAAAATGAACCCTTTTGTTTTAATAATTCAACAATATGTTGGAAACATCATCCAAAAATAAGAGGGGTTAGAAACTGCTCATTTTGGGTAATGTTAATCCTGAGTCTGTGTTTTTAACAGCTGTATTTAAGCTGTTTCTTTTGTCTCCTTTGACTTTTACATATTTTATTCATATTCATATCTGTTTGTTTCGTTAAAACATTTTAGTCTTGCAGAGTTGTATCTATTGTTGTAAATGTTTGTTTCTACTTCTGTATGTTCTGTCTAATTTTTGAATCACTTTGGGCAACATGTTTGTATGAAAGGTGCTTTTTAAAACAAGTTGAGCTGTGCGCTTGTTCTCATACCTTCTTCCCAGTCTGGAAGAGGAGTAACAGTTCTTTTTTCAGCAGCTTTTTTCTTCTTGCTCACAACTATTTTCTTCTGCTTAAACTCCTGAACATCCCACTCAAGATCCCAAAGCCAGGGGTCTTCTTTAAATCTAAAAAAATAAAACAAAAAACAAAACATAAAACATAGCTGTGCTACGGAGAGAAACACGGCCATGAATACGTGCTCTTCTCACCTTTCATCCTGCAACAACTGGCAAGCATCATCTGCTAAGGCCATCAGAGACTTCTTCATCTCTCTCTGGAGCTCTTCATAAGTGTCCTCCGAATATTCCAGGTAACGCCCCCAGTTTTGATTGACTGGGAGGTAACTCACCCCCATCTCCAGCATTCCAGCAAACGTCACAGGATGAGGGCACCTTACGAAAGATGAAAGAAATAGTTTAAATATGCAAATGGTGAAGAAAGTTGAATCACTTGTTTTTGTCTGGGCAATTACTACATATATTAGCTGAAGGAAAATGTATGTGGTTTGGGGGGCTTCTGACCTCTCCAAGAAGAGCGGTAGCTGTTCTGTAAAGACCTGATGTGTGGCTTCAACATCCAGGGCGCAGTACTGCATCAACTCCTGTAGAGGTCAGCAGAGGCAAAATGATCAGTCACTTTATGATGATGCAACTTTTTAGAGAACACATTTGATGGATGGTTAGTTAAAACTTAAAAACAGGATTTCTCATAAACCTCCAACCTGAAAGTTGTTCCTGACATCCACCATGCTCCCCTTGACAAAGGTCTCTCTGGCCTCTTTCTGCAGCGGCGGTCCTCCCACATACAGCGCATGGACATCAGCCAGGTTATTGATACTACTAATATTCACCCAGTCCCAGGAGCCTATCTGTACACAAGAACATCATGCCAAAAAAAAAAACAACCTAAGGAAAAAGATCCTGAAAAAATGTCAACTTTGCTGCAACTTTACCACAAATAAGCGCTGCTGTAGCTAAAATATAGTCATAAAAGACACAAACCATTGGGCCTTCCCTTTTCTGCCCAGCTTTCCTGATGTGCTGCTTCACCTCCTGAAGACCCTTCCTTTTTCCCAGTTTGTTGGCCATCCACAGTACACGCTGAAACCCGGTAAGACCAGAGATGGCCATGTGAAGGCTCATGGTGTCCATGAAGCGAACCTTAGAACCCTTAGGGAAAGAAAACTATTGTTTTAACTGAACTGAAGTAAAAAAAATACTAATAAAACAGGCTTTGAACCAACGATAATGAAACAAGGACAAAACAAAATGACTGACTATGAATACTGACTTTGAGTAAGTATTGCTCTTTGATGTAAGAACGGTCAAAGCTGACGTTATGGCCAACTATGAGCCTCTTCTTCCACTGACCCCCAGGCGGACGGGCAGAGTTTAAAGGTGTCTCCAGGGGTATAAGGTCAGCTAGGGTCAGCTGGTTTGACCAGGTGTACCGCTCTTCAATCAGACGCTTACTGCACCAAGAGTACCTACAGTAGCAAGTGAGAAATATTAGCAGTGGGAATTTAACAATTCACATCCAATTTGAAAATGCTAATGCCACTGGGTATATATTTTTCCTTTACAGCCTTCTAATTTGTTTCTTACCAGTTAGTGGGAGACACAGCAACAGCAAGCGTTGGACATCTTCCTTCAGTCATGCACACCTCCACATCAAACACCAGCGCCGACTCCACAGGGAAATCCACCCTCTGACTCTCGCCATTTGGCCCATAGCGGGTCCAGCCAACTTCCCAGCTCCATTCCTGTGGCATTGGAGGGAGCTCAGCCCGGTGCAGCTCGGTGGCAGCCTCGAGGTAGGGTAGACTCTGTTTCTCCGCCAAGATTCGAAAGTGCTCGTCAATGTTTTTGCCATACATTCGGGGAAGCTTAAGCTCCACATCAGGTAACAGTGCAGTCTCCTTCCCCCACAGCTGGTGTTTCTGCAGGTGCTTGATGCTGCGCTCCACATCATCCTCTCTGTCCTCTGGTTCAAGGCCACGAAAGATCTGCTCATGGAGGTTCCGCGACAGCATCTGAATGTTCAAGCGGTTCAGGCGTGTCTCTGTGGACTCCTCGCCCTGAGAAGAGTGAGGTTTGGTGGAGTAGAGGGAGCGTAGGTACTTCCATCGCTGAGAGATGAGAGTCCTCTGCAGAGGACGACGCAACACATGCAGCATCACCTCATGTGGACTTCACACTGGAGCTGCAAGACACAATACAACATTAACATCAAAACAGTTTAGCCCCATTTTGTATCTCATTTGATGTGACTACCTGAAAACTGATGCAATACAACCAATTGAAGAAAACAGTTTGTTAAAAATTCTGCTGGAATGTCAGAAATAAAATAAAATGCTACAGAACTGCGTGAAAGTACGAAAATGTGTATCTGCTGCTCTTAAACCTGGGCAGAAGAACAGATTCCTCCAAGAGAGGATGGTCAGAGCAGATTGACCTTCATATAGCAAAGCTGCTGAGTGTTAATCGTTTTACTGGCTGTTTAGACTCATACTGGACAGATGATTTTAGGTGTGCACTAAAAGGCAACCATACTATGAGATAAAACTAAATGAAAAGTGAACTTAATAAATGATCTCTAGAATAAAACAATCAGTGTCTTGTCCACATTAAAAGTAGAGATTCTGCAGAGCCTCAGTGCAGCTTGCAGGTGTGTTGTGGTCATGATTCAGGTTTTTGTCAATGACTGTACCCAGGTACTAAACACAACATCCAAACACACCTTGAGTGTTTAATTGACTGTAGCACAGTACATCTAGGTACTACACAATGCAGTCACCTTGTTTAAATGGGTTCAAAGCCAACCTACTAACTTGTGTTTACCAACATTTCCACCATGATCGTCCTTGGGGGAACTGTTGCTAATTGTTGAGCAACAAAAACATAATACTCGCTGTTTAATCATAAAGTCGCTGAGTTTGTTAGGCACAGCGTCGTTTCAATTAAAATAAAACACCTCAAACGATCTGTCGTATAATGTTTCACAATGAAGTTCTCAATCAATATAATATAAAAAGGTCTAGTTTGTAGCATAGATGGGCTACCTCAGCATGATGCTTTCCACTGGCCGCGGGGAGAAAGAGAAAGCGTGAGCGACGCCAAGCGGTACGGATGACTGCATGTTTTGTTCTTGTTTTTTTAAAACAACAACTTCACGTAGTGTTTCATTGATAAATGGATAAAGACTACAGAGGAAATCTGCAGCATTTATACTAGACTTATGTGCAAATGCGGATCTTCGGATCTATAACTGTACACATTGCCCTTAACATTACGTTAATATCTGATATGCTCAAAGGTGGTATATAACCGGCCGCGTGGCCTAATGGATAAGGCGTCTGACTTCGGATCAGAAGATTGCAGGTTCGAGTCCTGCCGCGGTCGCTCTTTTGCAAGTTCTTCTGTTGCTGACGATAATCCTAAATAGCACTGTTTTCTACTTCATCATTATAAGATCCATTAGACACATATGTAACTAGGTGAACAGGTTCCCTAAAAAAAATATTAAATATAAATGTCTTCCTGTAGACTACTTATGCCAACCTTAAAATGATTTCACAGCCAACCTTCCTATAGCCCATGCTGATTTGAACGAAGTCACTGAGGAAGCAGCGTCGGTCTTATTTCATTGCAACCCCTGCCTTTTTCAAGCGCTGTTATACGCTCTGCTAACACCAAATGGTAGGCTATTGGCGTTGTTTTAAACATCTACGCAGGCACTCCCCTTTTTTTAAAATGTAATGTTTTAAATCGAGTCTGAATGTATGTATTTACCCTGTGTTTCATTTGCAGTGGGATGACTGATCCTGATTTTGTCGTTGCTTCTTGTCAGACGATGGCAGATGACACAGAGGATGTTGAGCTTGACTTAGCTCCTGGCGAGCAGGAGAGGGCGCACACAAGCTCTGTCATAAGGTGCTCTGCAGGAGAATTTTTCATCATGTAACCTCTCTTGCATTTCAGAGTTTTTTGCTTCAATTGATATAAAATGGACACAAAAATATATCCCAGATAGGAGATTTGCCATTTTTTAATTATAACAATGTGTTTTATGAGTTTATGTTCTAAATCTGAAGTTGTATATGCAAACAAAGTCTACAGTGTCTACCGCCATAGGCTACTCAATATGCTTATTTTCTCTGTGTGTATTTTATTCCAGACATCCTCTTGCCTCGTTTTTCCACCTGTTCTTCAGGGTGATCGCTATAGTCACCTATCTGTTCTGTGACTTGATCAGCGAGAACTTTGCTTCATGTTTTGTCCTGATCATCACTCTGCTCTCTTTTGACTTCTGGTCTGTCAAGGTGAGAGGTCGAAGAGGTCAGCAACTAGTCCCCCTTACTTTCCAAGGCCTCTGACCTTCCTTGCCCTGTCATGCATTTGAGTTTCCTAGACGTTTAACTTCATGTGTTGGGATTACTTGTTACTTTGTGTTTCAGAATGTGACTGGCAGACTGCTGGTGGGGCTGCGCTGGTGGAATCAAATCGATGAGGACGGAAAGAGCCTCTGGGTATTTGAGGCTAAAAAAGTAAGATTTTGTCATCAATATGGTCCAGCTCCTGTGCAGAAGAACACTGTGGGGGTATTAAACAAAAGGGCATTGCTATGTTTGTTTGTGTGTTTGTGTGTGAGCAGACCTCTCAGATCAATAACATTGGTACCGAGGCAGAGGCGAGGATATTTTGGCTGGGTCTCATCATCTGTCCTCTTATATGGACATTTTTCTTCTTCACCTCCCTCTTCTCCCTGAAGATTAAATGGCTGGTGAGACTCATATAGCTTGTGTTCATCCTCTGCGTATATTTGGTGGCGGTACATCACATAATGTCCCACTTTAATCCCAAATGTCGTTTCTCCCCAGTCACTTGTGGTTGCTAGTTTTCCCTCCAAGTGGCTAATCTCTATGGTTACCTACGGTGCAAGGCAGTGGGAGAGGATGGCCAACCCCCAGACACCCGCTCCTTAACTGGACAGCAACTCCTGCAGTGTGTGAGTGACAGCAGCATTTAGCATGTAAAGCTGTTTTTTTCACACCACATGTGAACATTAACTCAATTATAACTACCATTTTCTTTTTGCAGCCAGACATCATCTTTGGGATATTTTGAAGGACTGACGCACTGTGTGTCTGGCACGCATGCTGCTGCCTGTTCAGTTCCCATGTTGTCTCTGGATCTGTCTTTTAAGTATGATAATAAAACACAAGTGCATTATACAACTTTTCATGTCCTTAAAGATGTTGGTTAAACACCACATATTCACTGTGAAACAGATAAGCCATACTTTCTTGTGATTAAGTTTTAAAACATTGGTGAAGAGAGCACTGTACACACATGAGCCTAACCAGATGTAAGGATCTCTAAACTATTAGCATATAGAAAAGCCTACTGGAAGAACAGCCAGGTAGTGTGTCTTCAATGTTTGGTTGTAATTGATTCTTCTCCATAGACAACACTTCTCACACCTCTGATGAAGTGTTAGGCTTTAATAATGATCACCCAAGTTTGTTGAATATGCATATCTGTAGCAGGTCTGTATGTTATGACAGGCTATTACTTTAAAATGATCTTAAATGTATTTGAACACAACAAAATCCTTTAGAGTTTAATAGATAATATTTTTTACAATTATTTTTTTATGCATTTATTTCTGAGAATGATGTTCAGAAATATTGTTTTACGGTTAAGTTAGGCACTGAAATGCTTTTTAACTTCTCTGTGATTGAAAAAAAATCTTGAGCCAATTTGAGTATTTTGCTGATAAGCTCATTTGTTTATTCAGTAGCCTATTGTTTGGAATAGCTGCCTCTCTGTAAACTATTGTTAAGTTTTCGTTTCAAAAGCCAGACTCTTTTTAAGCCTATGGCTATCACCAACTCTGTTTCTCATCTGAAAAGACTTATTCAAACACAATGAGTAAATAGACATGATGAACAATCTTGTGTCATTTTCTGCCTCTGGTTTCGCCCACATTAACACGTTATGGCATTTTCTCCAGGCTGTACAGGTTTGGAGGGAACTGTTCATACTCTTGGCCCCTGTGCTCTCCAGCTATCACATACAAACCTGATACAAACTCACCAGTCTTCAAAGATGTTTTACTTAATCAGGATTGCACACTAACACTTGCTTTCAACCTGTGAAAACCTTTGAACTGAGTACAACCAGAGGCTATATTCCTGTGCTCGCTTATTAAACATTTGTTGGCATGTTAGTGTACTTTACCTACGGGTAAGTAAAACGATTAGGCCCGTTTATCAGGACTGCTCGAGGCTATCTCCTGTTGGATTTAGGGCTGCAGTGGCAGTGCTTGAATGGGCGTTGCAAATCTTTAAAATCAACCTTATTTTAAAACAGTTAAATAACAATTTCTTGAGTTTTGACCAAGTAGACACATCAATTTAGCTTACTTTGAATAGTGTACTAAAATCCAACACGTTTTTATCACGTAGCCTAATTTGAATTATATGTTTTATAACGTAATTATTAGAAAATAGAAAATAAATTAGAAATAAATATAACCTATATATAAGCCTAGGCCTACACAAGGTAAAGCAGTGTTATCCAAACTACTGATAAAGGTAGTGTAAAATGACCAACACACCCCATCACCACCACCTATCTTGCGGTAAGGAGTGGAGTGTGTGTGTGTGGGTGGTGGTGGGGGGGGACAATTTCGACTTTCAAGCAAACGTCAGTGAATCTTTTTCAAAATTAGAAACTTGGGCATTTACAATATTCAAAAGCTTTATACAAGTTACAAAGTAGACATGCGGTATAAGTAGGCTATATAGTTAACTGAAGGTTATGATGATCATACAAAGAAATCTGTTAGGAGTGAGACATCTTTTTGAATTCGGCTAGTCTTTGCTGGCGACGGACTCCCTGATTGGTCAGCTCGCCTCCATGGCTCTGGGATGACGTCAGTGCAGGAGTGAGTAGAGGAAGCGCGCAGCCTGGAGGAGAGGCAGAAGCTGGAGGACTGAGGATGAAGCTGGACTCACCTTACAGCATCAGCTCCTCTCACGGGCCCCGTGTTAACGCAGACAGATCAATCTGCAAAATTGATTACGACGAAAAGTTGAGGACTTTTCTCTTCAGAGTCTGCTCTGCTCATGAAACAGGTAAGAAACGCATCACGATTTGTAACAAAACGGATTAGCAAGGACAGCGTACGATTTTACCATCTTTGATTCTATTTTCATGACATTTCGTGTTTTACGCAGAGAATTGAGGACATTGGAGAAGCTCTTTTGGTTTACCCTCTGGTTTGTTTTTTGTTTTTTTTGCCGGTGCTAACAAATTAATTAAACACCAGAAAGGGTCTGTTTAGGTCTTGGTCCCTGAACAGACCAAAAAAAAAAAACCTTGTTTGGAAAGTGCCAGAATACAACTCAACGCTCCTTGGCCTATTATCATGATTATAATATACAATTGTTTCTCTAATAGCTTAAACATTTAATCCTCGAGACGTGTACTAACCTAGTCTAGTTTTAGAAGAAGTAGGCCAACTCAAATTAAAAGTGGGGATTCGTTGCCCCCCTGAGAGGACCAAAGAGCCAAGAGCCAAATTAAAAAAAAATCTTAAAAACCCAGCTCAAATCAAACGAAGAACATATTTCAAAGGGTGAGATGTGGACCGTCTGTGAACCTGCTCAATGGAAACAGACATTTCTTTATTTATAACCTGCCTCAGGTTCATGGTCACACTGATGTATCTTCATCATGCAAAATAGGCTTTTTCAAACATTGTGCTCCTTATAAGCTGTAGGTTTCTAAACACTAGGATTTAAGGGGGGGAAGCTTATTAAGAGGATTAAGGTAACATTAGTTGTGTATAGACGATTTTTTAGGAACAGGCGTTCCTGAAAAAAGCTGATATAAAATGAAATGTTAGTTTTCCATATTACAGACCCGTCTTACACATGAACTTTGCCAGTAATTAACTATTAAATAATCTTTATTTCAGTGAGCAGGTTGATACTTCTGAATGCAAGTTAACACGTGAAATACAACAGGTTTTGTTTTTTATATTTGAAATTGCAGCCAGATTTAATCAAACATTTGTATATATTTTTTTAGATTGTGCTGTATTATTTACGGATAGAATACCTATGGAAATATAGTTCACTAATTCACTAGGCCCAACACACTTTATTCAGCCTATTCACACACACACCATACATTTTTAGGATGTTTTTCAAGTAGAATTCCAATTTAAATTACATTTACGAAAATGTAAGATTAATTAGGTCACTATTGTCAAGGCCTTGGCATAAACACCTGATATCACTGCAAGGAGACACGACGGCTGTAATGTGTAGTACTTTAACACTATTATGTGCTAGCTAAGATGTTGAAATTGAACGCACCTGACCCACGTCCTCCTGTCGTGCAGGTGTCGGGCTCGGCTGCTTTATTCCTCCTGCATTCATCTGAAATGTAAAATAATGATAATAAATAATGAAGAGTGAATCAGAGCTGTGTGTGTGTTTGAATACTACAGGCCTACCTAATGCGTCCTTACCTCCTTCTTTAGATGACGCCGACATCATGTCGAGCTGCAGCACGACACAGTGAGAGGTCTGTTTTTGTCTTTGGTTATCTAGCTGTATGAGTGTTAAATTCCTGTCATAAAGCTAGATAACCGAAAGTAGAAATGACTTCCATAACCCTGCATTCATTAAAAGGGACACCTCAGGCTTTGAACGCGGATTTTTGACTTCCACCTGTCAAAGGTAAGAACATGTTTTTGCAGTTTTTGAATTTCAAATGCAAATATTCAACATAGCATTGAGTGGTTTTGAATTCATTGTGTGAAGTGCAACATTTAAAAAAGATCATCTCACACGAGACATAATAACTGCTTAATATACCAGCTTCTTACAGAGAGTTTGATGTGGCTTTAGTTTAGTACAAGCCAGCCTAAACAAGCAAACAACTTAACTTGATCAAGACTTTATGTCCATTTATGTCCTCAAATCAGCTGCTGTAAGGCAACTGTAAAAAAAATTCCCAATCTTTCTCCATTTTAAGGCCTCCCAATTTGGAGGCTTGTGTTTTTATTGTGAGAAATAAACATTTAGCAATGCGTAATCATTTAGACCTTTAGTGTAGGACAGATCAGGGGAACATTAACAAGAGCTATGTTCCATTCAAGTGTCCCTGTGAGGCAGCATGCGCAATGTACCAGAAACCTGAAACTGAAGCACTTCAACCAAATTCATCCATCTTTCATTTTATTTTGTCTTTATTGGCAAATTTTGGTTTTCATTAGAGGTTTTTTTTTAGGATTTATTAAAGGTATCCTCTCGATTTATCTTTAACACTTCAGATCATAATTTTGTATTCATTTAATTATGTTTTGGAGGATTATTTTCATTTTCGTAAAAAAAAAAAAAAAAAGAAAGAAAAAAGAACACTCTAGATTTCAGCTGTGAGACTTTGTTTATAGAACAAAGAAAACTGAGATCAATGCTCTGTTAAGTTGAAGTTGAGTGTAGTAGCCCCCTGCACACACACAGGGTTTAAAGAAACCTCTTGGCGTCTGGATTTGAAAGCTGCAGTGAGTGTTTGGGAAAACATTGTGTCTCTCCACAAAGAGAAGTCCGCGGCCATCCTTAAGACAGGAGCTGAACTTTTCAACTTGGTACTTCAGGGCTGTGCGTTGCGTACGCTCAGGCCCGGAAACGCCACTAAAGCCTAACGAGCACAAAGTGAGATGACTTCTCATTCACTCTCTGCAGTATAGGGCTCACTGTCAAATTGGGCTAATTGCTCTGTTTCACAGGGAAATATTTGATATGTGAAAAGGCCGTAGTCCAAGTCTTTACCTGGGCTTTGTCTGGTATAAGTGGTGTGTCAGCATGGCGTGCCTCCTTCACGAAAACATGTACAAACCATGGAGGGTTTATTTGTCACATGTTCCAAGGGCCTCTTTATTTCGAAACGTCTTATGTTTTTAAGACAACGGTTCTTTACATGCTTGAATAGCAACAGAAATACACATTCGTGCACACAAAGACCTCAATGATATGGATTTGTATGTGCTAAATTCACTCAGTTCATTCATTTTAAACCAGCTTTAGAAGCACGACTTTGCTCCCGTTTAAAGAATAAACTATGATTAAGAACCCTTAAATTAAAAGTATGGATGTTTAGCATACTGATGAAAAGTGTTTTATTTTCTGTTTTTTTCCCTCTTCCATCTGCTCTCGTTACAGGCACCCGGTTAACGACAGGGGCTTTCTTGAAAAGAGGATAGCCATCATTAAAAGAAAACATGGCGGGAGGGTTGGAACGCTTCGTCCGGATTTGCCACCTCCTCCTCCTCCTCTCCCCTCCCCCTACTCCTCAACCCTTTATGCCCAAGAGCCTCTAATGCCATCTGCACTGCCAACTGGGGGACGCCCTGCCCGTGCCAGGAGGTGGACAAAGACCCTGCCATATCCTGCGAGTATGAGCGCGCTCAGAGGAGCCATCTTGGGATAGTTGTTGCCGCGACACCTAAAATGGCTGGGCCTGGCATAGGAGGTGAGCTGCATCATGGTTTTCTGTTGGGTACCAGTGGTGGTGGTTAATGTGTGTGTGTGTGTGTGTGTGTGTGTGTGTGTGTGTGTGTGTGTAATGATGGGGGAGAAGGAGAAAGGATTAGAAAGAGAAGAAGAAGAGTTTCCCATTTCCTCATCCTCCACTCACACATGGCCTCTCTCTTCTCTCCTGCATCTCCTGCTCCTGCTAATTAGCAGTTAAGGGGTGATGTGAGGGGGGAGCGGGTGGTGGGTGAGGAAGGAAGGTTGTGGTTGGTAGTGGGATGGAGCGAAGGCGGGGGGGGGGGGCAGCAAACAAAATTAATGAGCTGGCACTGGTTGAAGGAAACCTGCCAACCCTCTCTAGTCATGGTGCTGCTCTACTCCCTGATGCACACCAGGCCGAGGTGCATGTCGTTTCTCCACCCGACACACCACACACATTAATTCATGCAACAAATCTTTACTGTGAAGCTCACATAACGATGTTTGCTACTGCGTCTTCAGCTATCTTAGCGAGCTGAACACTTCAGGTGAATCACGCTGAGGAGAGGAGTGATAGTTTCCTATCTGGGGATTCACAGAGCTGCTTTTCAAAGTGGAACCATTCCAGTCTGAGATTTGATTTGGTAAATGAACAAAGATACTTGTCTTATGATACGATTTCTTTATGTAGACTAATTTCAACCCTGAGTATTAGCAGCTTTTGCTTTGAGTCCCTTCGCATTGTGATTTATATCAGAGCATTAATGGCACTTCAAAGACTGGTTACATGTTAGATTTAAAGTCTTCTTTAGCCCCAAATGTTAATGTTAAATCAGACTCTATAGTTTATAATATGAAAATACAGTTGTACCACCACTTTAATGATTTACACGTTTGAGAACTTTATTTGGCCCACAAAGATAAAAAATCTCAGACATCGTTTATGAAACATTTCACATTTGTCCAAAAATGTGACAAGGTCAAGAATGAATGTTCAGTATTAAAGCCAACCATTGCCACTTACACACCTGCAACCTCCCACACACACATAACCCACACACTCATAACCCACACACTCATAACCCACACACACACACACACACACACAGTCAAACATCCAGATCCTGAGAATGCTTCCTGATCATGGCATCAAGCTTCTATGTACCCCTCTGTACCCTGTGGCAGAGACCTGAAGCAGCAAAGTGTGACACGTGAGAGAGTGTGTGTGTGTGTGTGTGTGTGTGTGTGTGTGTGTGTGTGTGTGTGTGTGTTAGGGCCAACATGGGCAGCTGCACTGCTTGTGTGTTAATGAACAGTGCCGTGCGTTTTCACATTATCATTCAGCACTGCTCTCTCCCCCCCCTCAATAGCTGGTCCCCCCCCCCCTCTACTCACACACACACAAATCCCTGCTCCCTCCGTAAAGGCCTGCTTTCCCACCATTGTGGGAGCGGGTGCTGCGGCGGGCCAGGCTGGGGGGCAGGGTGGGAAAGAGCCTCCAGACTAGACATGAGCAGATGCCTGAGACATTAGACTGTCGTGCAGATCACTGGGGTCGGGCGAGCCGCTGAGTTTTAATGTGTGTGCAAGTATATGCGTGTTTGATATGTGTGTGTGAGGAGGGGGGGTGGGGGGGTGTTAGTCTGGGCCATGACGTGCCACCTGACTGTTCATTAGTCTATTCAGCCTCCTCTGCATGTCTGAGAAGCATGGAGATGTAGCTTTTCTGCCAAATGAGAAGGATTTCACTTGAATTAGACATGCAAACATACATGCATAAAGGTGCATACGCTCAGGCCTGAAACACACAGGGGATTAGAGGTTATAAGGATGTGATACAATGACATATTCCCTCACATTGCATATATACTTTTGAGCATTTTAGAATATCTGAGTTAACACTGCTGGATGTGATTTTTCCTAAATGCAAGCAGCATCTATCTGACATCCTGAAATCTCACAGGACAGTTAGCATGTCACCAAGGATGACTCAGCTAAGGTGATGGGTGTGTCTAACAAGCAGAATGATGTAACCCACTGTAATGATTATTAATGAGCCTCGTACTGTACGTGTGCCTCCACATGATGTGTTAGGCATGTGCAGCCCACACATCAAAAGATTATTCCCTCTCTTTATTCGTATGAAAGACTCAGAGCTGTCTTTGTAATTGCATTTGCGCTGCTCATCTGTGATATACCGTGCATTGCTTAAGGCACATTTGACAGAGGAGAGAGAGAGAAAAAAAAAAAAAGGTGAAGGCGAGGTATTAATCTTGGAGATACTATAGCTTGCTCCATCCTACATTTGTGATGCAATACTGTGCTGTATGTAAGAGAAAACAGAGGAAAACACTGGTGCATTTTGAAATTGAAAAGGAGAGCTTTGCATACCAAGAAAGGGTTAAAGACACATGTATGTAAAGGAGGCAGTAGAGGAGGAAAGGTGCAGCACATCCGTGGCCATGTTTGAGACAGCGCCGTGCTACTTCTGCACGTGCTGATAAAGTTAGCTTGTGCTAGCCTGTGTAGTGCCACGCTGAAGCAATTTGCATCTGCAAGGACCCGGGCATGGAGGACTGGTGTGTGTGTGCTTATTTGTGTGTTCACTTACTATATTCATCACGCAAACACTATTTCACACACACACACACACAGATATACATACATACACACACCAGTCCTCCTTCTTGCAGCTGCAGATCACTTCAGCATGGTGCTACACAAGCTAGCATAAGCTAACTTCATCAGCACATTCAGGAGTAGCAATGAAAGGTGATCAATGCACTCCTTCACCGTTCTTTGCAGTATTATGTGCACATGCACAAGTACACACAGAATATTTATGTGTGTTATGATTTCTATCTGTAATTCAATGAACAAGGTTGGATAATAAAAACTATGCAATCAAGATGAGTCATGTTTTGTTGCATGTTACGAAGACTTTGTAGAAACAGCTTAAGAGGTTTTAATCTGCTTCGAAACAAAGAGTTTTCAATTAAGATTATTCGAAAAGCAGAGCGGCCCGACTGGCGAGGTCAGCGGCTTTGACACCGCGTCAGGAGGATTTAGGATCTGAGAGTGTCCGTGATTCTTCCTCTGCAGAAATGTAGTGATACAATGACTTTCAATACCTTCTTGTACGTTGCAACAAAAAAAAAGAAATGAGAGTAAAATGAATTCTCCCTCCAGAAAATGTCAGAATATAGATGATTACCTTTCTCTGCTTTCGCCCTCCCCTCCCTCTTGTTATTCATTATTAACTATGTACTGATTTTTTTGCTGAGAAATTATTATGTGTGACATGATGAAGCGACAGTAGGCGGTTTCACTTCCAATAGAGTGCTGGTGAAGCAGTGTTAGCCATTGAGGCGATGAAATGTTAATACCATATAGCTCCTGGGTTACCTCTTTGGATTCTCCTCACTGTATGTGGACTGTATGAATGTTTTAACGCCTCCTCTGTGATATATAAAAGCCCGCCTCATGGGCCGCCCGAAGTCTTGGACGAGTTCCAATGTGGGTCAAGCGAGGCTCATCGGGGTTTTTTTCTAATGCAACTTTGGCCGAGACTAATCTAGCACAAAGCCTGACATTAAGTATCTTAGAGGAAGATGGAGAGAAGTTTCTCCATCTAAGGCTTTGCAGATTACGTCTGTTGGCTGTGGCGTCCCTGCGTGGGGGCCCTGTGAGCTCCAATGAAAGTAGACGAGAATTAGGTGACTGAGCCTTTAATACAGTGGCCCTTTGTAATCATATCAAGAGGAGATGAGGTGCTAGGGTGAGGAGAAAAAGGGGAATCCATTGTGTGACCTCGTTTTTTGAGACGTGTCTGTACAGTACGTAAATGTAATAAAAGGTTACAGCAACAAAAAAGGGAACCATACCAAAAAAAGGATATTTTGTTTCTAGTGTTGCGATACATGGATGTACGACGATGAACCACTCAGTAAGCAAGTCAAGTTCAAGTTTGTGGGTGCAGGTGCTCTGTCCGCGGAGTAAAGACAGTCTGTGGCCACCCTGGTGTTCAACAGGAGGAGGAGGAGGAGGTGGAGGTGGGTGGATGGGGGGTACATAGCCTTTGACCTCTGCAGGGGTTGCTATGGGAAAGAGGCCCGTCGGCTCAGTAATGTACGTCTGAAAAGGCCGAACTGTCAGAGCTGTCTAGCAGACGTCAACCCCCCACCACACACACACACACACACACACACACACACACACACACACCAACTATCTCTAACCCATTCACACTCTCTCACAGATGGCACGGGCCAGCTTGGGAATGTTAGCTGCTTTCTGTTCATCAGACACCGTTATAATTCATCACCACTCTACGCTTCTCCCTCAGCACTAGAACTCTTCTTCCCAGTGTTTCCGCTTATGTCAAAGCAGTGTGTGTGTGTGTGTGTGTGTGTGTGTGTGTGTGTGCTTGTGTCTAGAATATTGGCTTTTGAGACATCAAATGCCATCACTGTGGCTGAAGCATCACTCTTCATCGTGGTTTCCATCCCTTAGTTACATACGTTAAATTTGGCCACAATAAAAACTTCCCAGCTAACATTTAAGTCAGCAGGATTTAAAAAAAAATTTACTCTAATGCACAGGTGTTGTATCAACTTTTATAGAGCACTAAAACGCAAAATTGACTATTGTCCTAGCTCTGAATAAATAAAAGAAGAGTGGCCTTCCAATTCTAGAGGAAGTAACAGTCTTTGAGGATTTGATGCACTTGTGCATATTTTCTAGAAACGATATGCTTCACATGAGCTTCCCCAGCATATTGGTTATTTAAAGGAGAATATATATCTAATTCAAGCTCTTACTAGACATCAGAGCACCCTGTTTTCTTTTGGAATCATATATTTTTGAAAAATAACTAAATGAATGGGCCCACCCTTTGAATAGTCTTTTACACCTGATGTTAATCCATATGAAAAGAACTATACACGCAGACAGTTAGAATAGTCGGTGATATCGGTAAACTATATTTTCTTTATGTCGATTTCAAAATAGTCAGTGCTCTATGTTTCAGTGACTGCATGTCAGTGAGGGCATGCAAATCCACTGATTGTAATACACGCTAGTTTCCATGCCGCCTCTGTAACTGTGTGCAAGTGTGTCCTCATTTAAGGCTGCATTCATTCAGGGGAGGGGTCTGAGGAAGAAAAGAGCGTGTATTTGCATACGCTGCATGCCGTCTGCAGAGAGGGAGCAGTCAAAAAAAGATGTCAGAGGTGCACAAAGAGAATGGGGACAAATCCTTCATTGTGAGCTCGGTGGGAGAAAGGGGCTCGTCTGAATTGGGGAGTGGGCGAAAATTGACAGAGAAAGAGTTTGGGCTGGTTCCCCGCAGGGATAAAAGCCTTGAGATCCCTCCGTGCATACAGCCTGAAAATGGGAGAGTAGAACAACACGCAGAGCACAGGGGCCTTTTTTTTCTCTCTTTTTTTTTTTACATAGCATGAAAAGGAAGTTTGTTTTTCTGAAACACTGCCTGCAATTTGTGAGGTACAAAAACCAAGAAATCACACACAAAAACAAACTCAGTATCGCCAAAACATAGCCATCAGAGAGCTCTGCTTTTCAGAGGAATTATCAGCTAATATGGACTTGTTCTTAAATCTCCTTGGTCTCTTTGTATTTTTTATGTACTGTGTTAACCTGTGGTCCTTTCTTCTATTTTAAGTATACATGTTTTTAATGTATAAGTTTTATTAACCGCTTAACACTTTGCATGGTTTGGAAGCTTTAAAGTTTCAATTTTCAATTTCAGAGTCTTGACAAGAAATAAATGATCCTCTAATCTACTTTTTTAACGTTCAATAAGAAAGCATGTCCTGTGAAAAAATCCTCTCAATTGTCTTTTATTTACAGCCTGAGTTGTGAAATGTTATCTTATTACAGCTCATGCTGTGGAGGTTTGTTTGTGATGCTAACAGTTCTCTTCATTTCTCCTCAGGATGGGACAGGATCTGCAGGCCCCTCTTGAAGGAAGAGACACGAGGAGATCATGGACCGGATTCGCCAAAACGAGTCACTTGAGCTTAAACCTGGGAGATTGATTAGTCATCACAGATAGAGAAATCTTATGTTAAAGGACTGTCGGAAAAAAAGATACTATGTAACCCTGTAATGCATAATAACCTACACTTTTATAAATTATTTAATTTAAAGATCCTGTTATATGTGACTAGATATTTCTAATACAAGTGTAATATTTTTCAAATTAAATCTAATTACCTTTCTTGCCTTTATAGGTTATACATATTTTAATTAAAATGTTTTGTTCATAATGATTAAACCGAATTCATATCTATCTATTTTAAGATAAATTTTTTAAAGTTCACTGCTGTCAATGACTACTTCATGCAATAAAAAAAAAAAAAAAAACTTAATGTCTGTGTTGCAGTTTTGTTTTTAAGCAGTATGGTGTTTTATTTAGTAGGAAACTGATAACCTTTTTTTTCTCGATTATTACATTATTGTTGACATATTTCAAACGGAATGGTTTGTGTTTCTTTCCTTTTTTCAGTGGAACAATATTAGTAGTGTTTGGTCCATCATATTCAGGAGCAAGAATGTAAATTAAGAAATCGAAACAGGACAGTGGGTTCAATAGTAAAGCCTACAGGGCCTCTTTCTAATGTGTGTGTGTATGTGTATGTGTGTGTGTGTGTGTGTGTGTGTGTGTGTGTGTGTGTGTGTGTGTGTGTGTGTGTGAGCATCGTGTGAGAAAGGGTTTGAGTGACCCTGCATTAAGTTTTAATTAGGAGGAGCAGACAGGAACGTGTGATGAATCATTGTGGGGAGTTCGTCACAATATTCAGTGGATAATATGACCCTGCCTGCTATTAAAATATATCTTTAGTGTTCGTTCCGTTTGTTGCCGATTTAAATTACTCCAGATGAAGGTAAACGGGTTATATTTTTTTAAAGATACAAACACTGGATTTATTTAATTGAAGGCATTATCGAAGCACAAACACGTGTATCATAAATGTAACCTGGATTTAAACAGATATGAAACTCCCATTTGAAGTTTACTCCAAATCTAAATGGATCACTTCCCACCATGCAGCGCTCAGTTTGGGCGATTAATCGGGTTTTGATGGTTTTGAGGGATTACAAGCCGTCCGGGTGTCAGTCGGATGGTCGGACCTCAATCAGTGTGTCCGCCTGATCTGTGTCCGGAGTCAAACAACAGATGGACACGCGCGGGGTCAACAAGGGATTATTTCTTTCTCTAAGGGCTTTGTTGAAACAAACAAAACAATAATCAGACAGGTCCGTTAGTTACGACTGAAAATAACTCCGGAATTTAGTAATTTTCTCTTTTTAAAAACGAATAGCTTAGTTAAACTGAAAGAATAATAAAGGTTCATTAAATAGCGTGTAGCCTACAGGTTTAGACAATACAAATGTGACACGTAATGACCCTGATTTTTTTAGTGACATAAATGTTCATTCACGTTAAAATCATTTTTGTTTTACTTCACCTGTTATGCTACTGTGCTAGCTGTTAATTCAACCTCATCACATTTAAAATAAGCCTAAAATGGACCACAAAAAACCTCCAGTGAGCTGTTTGACCTACTTAATGTAAACATGTATTTTAATTTGAGCCCAATAATTCACTGCTTTCTTAGAATGTCTCATTTGCACCTAAAATTAATTTGAAAAAAAAAGCATCTCAATCTGCTCTGGGAAGAGACATTAAAAAATGTTTTTGGCAAAAAATGGCATGATATGATAAAACAAATACATTAAGCACAACAAGATCCAGAAAACAAGATGCTTATGATGATATACAACCAAAATAAGAGTAGTATCTTATAAATATATAAAGAATATTCACAATTAACGTGAGAGAGCTACAACAAAAATAGATTTAAAAACCATCACCCCATGTATAAACAGTATGTAACAACACTATATTTGACATAAACACTAAAATCAGCTTCATGAAGCAATGGAGATTTGTCTTAGAGGCCCATGCAGGAGTCAGCATGTTTTCAATCCATCTAAACATACAGCGGCTGATCTCTGTGATTAGTTCCCCTCTGTGGATGAATGGAAACCAATTAGTGAAATCAGCCTGTGTAGAAGTTGGCTGGAACGAAAGCCCAAATGATTCTGTAAAAACCTGGTTACACTGCTGTGATTTCCATCATTAAAAAGTGTTATACTCTGTTTACTGCAAACTAAAAACTCTACAAAAGTTTGTAAACAAATGTTAAAGAGCTTCATGTCAGCTTTAGTATCTTCAGTATCCTTTTCCTGCAGAGGTAATTGCCTAAATCAGCTTTTCTGGGTTAAAATATTGCTTTCTGATGAGTGTCAGCTGGTCAGGGACCTGTTGTTTAAGTCCCTACAGGTCAGAGGGGTCAAGAGGTCACGGTATGGACAGCCCCCCAGAGGACAATAAACAGGCTGGAGGGAGGCTGAGGTCACAAGCAGTCTGAGCCAGAGCAAAAGGTCAAGGGCCGCTAATTAAGTGGCTATTTCCTGCTATTCCCTAGTGACTAGTGGACACATGGATGGACTGGAAAAAGCATGAAGGAGTCTATTCAGACTAAGTTAATAAAACCTGGAGACCAGTTAAAATAATGAGACAGGTTGAAATAGATGACTGGAACAACAGATAATAAAATGGAGAAACAACAGCAGGCTCACCTCTTGACAAGCTTTTACAGAAGGAAATAAGATATATGTTTAAACAATTGTTTTACTTAAGTTTACCAAACAAATCTTTACAAATTTAGACAAATTTAGAAAGTTTTTTTGTACTAAAGTCTAATATCATTTTGACTGAGAAACACGATTTAATGAACCACGCTGGAAGAGTTTCAGCCCAATAATCTCAGATCCAAACTGACTTTTCTCCTCTAAAGAAAGGGGAACAGAGAGGGAGGACTCCAGGACTGTAGTCGAGGAATTCAAACATTTTGGAGGGAAAGCTGTTTATGCCTTTCCAGCCTCTGAATGGGTCTGTGTGCATGATCCCTTAGCATAAGAATGGAGATGAGGCCAGTGAACTCCTCTGACTCTGACCTTTCTCCCAGGATGTGAATAGTATCACTCAAGAGCCGCGCAGCATCCTTTCAATCCAGACCTGAGCCCTGCCCTCGCCTAAACTCCTAATCAGGCTGATTTAATGTCTCCTAAAAGTCCTTCCTCCTCACACACACCATTGCTGCTACAGAGTTTTGTACTGAACTGCAGGCTCACCCACTCCACACAGCACTGCCTCTGGGCCCCTTTGCTTTAGGAAGTTGGAGGAGATGGTTTGAAACAACAGGGGGCTTCTCCCTCCATACAGTCTGGGTCTCTTATAATCAATTGGTTCCTCCTATAAGGAGCTGATGCTTAATCCGCAACTACTATGTGTATGCCAAACAACTGACAGAATACATACTACTTTAGAGGAAACATCCAGATTTAGCTGCAAAAATGTAATAAACTCTTATGACAAATAATGCTGAAAACCTATAAGCAACACTGTTATGTAGCCTACTCCTATTTTTTATTTATAGGATTCGTCATTTAGGGGTATATACACTTTATATAGCCCAATTCTGTGATGGTGTGAAAGCAAAAGGAAGCTCCGATGTAGTGCTGAAAGAACAGCGCCAACAAGGAGCCTACACTGATCCTGATCCGAACAGAACTCACACTCAACATGAGCTCCTGAAGAGGAGCGATATGGAGAGAAAGCTCACCCAAAACCACAAAAAGCTGTCCAGGATGACGGTCAAATCACAGCTCTGTCTCATCGTGTTAATATTTGTGTTCATTTCCGAAGTTTAAATATCGGCCTGACTTGGCTTTCAGATGTTTTTTTATCACATTTGATGAAACAAAATAGCCTAAGTTAAACTCCATGTGATTGTTAGGCTAATTGTATTTTATTTTAGTCGGACTGAATACATAGCCTACATGAGGCAAAAGATTACTCTCAATGTATTTCTGAATGTAGAAATTCATTTTATCGTATGTGGTGGTTTGAGTTGATTGGATGTTCATTTCATCCCCTTTAATTACGACTTTAGTGTTTACAAAGACCCTCCTTTGATACGGAACAGCGTCAGTGCAGCAGCGTGCAGCGCCCGGCATGTAATGAAATAAGCTTCAGCTACACCTTTTCGGTCTTATTCTTTTTCTTGCTTATCTTTCCTTTTTCATTCTAGAAAAGCATTAACGTAGGCCTAATGTTTATATTTTTTTTTATTTTTTAGCAGTGTAGGCTATCTGATCGTGTACAAGTTGAATATGACGGAAACAAACTAATGTGCTGTAGTTGAACTGAGAGCAAACTTGTACCACCTCTTTGTAGTTTACCCTACATCTTCTTCTAGATTCAAGATAATCTTATTATTAGTCCCAAAGTGAGAAATGTGTATTTGGCTCTTCAGCCATGCTGCAGCCATTTAAAGAACACTACATAATTCACAGGCCACATGGCACAAAACAGCGGCCTTGTGGGCTTGTGTGTTAACATGAAGTAGCCTACTAAGACACGGGTTGAGGCCAGAATGATTTAATAAACTGATTTGGACTGCTATCAGTCCCAGATAGCAAAAAGTCCGGGAATAGGGAACACAAAATGTGTTTTCTCTATGGTTGATAGTGTTCTGAAGTCTGTGTCCTTATTTACCTCTGTGTAGTTATAATGAAATAATATTTATTATTCTATAGTCTACACAAAAATCTAACAACTATTAAAAAAAAAAAAAACCGCCCACAGACTTCACGCTTTTATTTTAGTAGGCCTAATATCCGTTTTAAGGAGAAAAAACATCTTTAGATAGGCCTATAGATGTTTAAATTCTGACTCGTGCGTCTTGGCTAAATGAGCTTAAACCAGATATAGTTGCCTACAAACTCTGGCACGCTGAAAGTCAATGTTAAAGCACATTCAAAAATTAGAAATTCGAATTCTCCGTAAAGGATCAATCAATTAACTCTCACATTTGTAAATAAAAATGTTTTGGGTTTTTTTTTATTTTTTTTTAGCCAAATGTAAGATTTATAGTGATTACATTTTATTTGACTTAAGCCCAGTAAAGCTTAACTTATGAACTTGTTGTTCTACCTTTATATCTTTTGTGGGCTTGGACATAAAATAAAACAATAACATGTATAGGCTACATTGTCATCTAGACTTCATCATTTAACATAGAAAGTGCACATCATTGTTATTCAACCTTTATTTAATCAGGTTTGTCTTCAGACAAGAATTACATTTTTTAGGAGAAACTTTAAAAATAGCAGCAACACTTACCTTTCATATATATAAAAAAACAACAACATACTGCCTTGTATGTCAAAAAAGATTTTAAAAAGATCTGATTTCACA